AAATGAACTCGAAGGCATTAGAATTACAGTATGTATGTCACTATAAAAGGAAAAAGGAAACAGTTTTCATCAAATCACGCACAGGGGGAATAATACGCCACCATATACAACACCTCTCTATAAAAAACCCAAGAACAAGTTTGAGAAACACTGCGATAGAATAAGTTGAAGGATGTGGGAAAGTTGGTTCAGCATGAGTCCAGGCCAAGCCCTGTTCTAATTAGCCCACTGTGTGAGATAGAGGTAATAAATAACATTGTAGACTGTAATCAGTGCGACTCGTTATGTCTCTGACAAGTTCAGAGATGACGGAGGCGGACAATGACTAAAGCGCCGTAGCTTCTCCTTATACCATTTGTACGGAAGTCATTTTGCATTAGGAAACCACAGATAATTAGACAGATTTACTACCTTGGGCATGGGAAAGGAGAGGGAGGATGAGTCGCACAGAACACTTTTCATTTTTAGAGGTGGCGCAGAGCTGTAACCGTGGAGATTCATCACCACCGCTTTTGTTATTCAGGTCTGACGCCGCAGCATTAGTTAGGCTAATTCTTAATCTTTGTCCCAGGTGTTACAGGAGTCATTTTAACTGTGGAAGGGAAATGGAAAGTATGTTGTAAGGCACTTTTACAACAAGTTTAATCCACAAATTTAAGTGAACAAACCCCAAAATGAAACCAAGAGCAGGGTCTATTTTTGTATGCAATGAATAAATATAAGATACACAAAAGAGATTTACGTTTATATGTTTCCAATTTCCTTGATATGCCCTTGCCTTTAGAATTTTGCTTATCTGGGTACATTTTGCCCCTTCTACTGTTTATTTGTCATTGGGAAACCCTATGGAAGTTGCCAGTTTTCTTCAAACTCTTTCCTATGCTTTATGCTTCTCATGGGTCATGGGTTAACTTCAGACTGGTTGGACAGACTGTGATGTGGCCTGAGTTGGGCCTGGCCGCACAGTCGTCTGGAGGACACGTCCTCTGTGCTCTACTACAATTGACTTGTACCAACATCACATAACCTTCATCTTCGAACACTCTGCCCATTAGTCCAATCAGTCATGCACCATAAAGACATGAAGGAGGGTGGTTTCTTTACTTCTGCTGTTAAAGGAGAAATATTACAATATAATCTATAAGGATCCTTTTTGCTCTATCAACTAATCTTATACATTGTGCTATATCCGTCACTTCAGTGAATATAAAATGTCTGTTTCACCTACCACCTATATTCACCCATTTTCCACTTTACTTTTTAAACTTTAAGTCTGTTAACAAGTCTCTCCAAGCCTCGCACCAAAGTACATCCGAGACATGTCAGTGCCATATCAACCAACTGGGAATCTGAGGAGCACAGGGACTGGCCTCCTGCTGGTGCCCAAATGAATGCAGATAAAACCTGGAACAGTCTTCCTGAAGATGTGAGACAGGCTTCTTCTCTGACAATGGTCAAATCCAGGTTAAAAACAGATCTGTTTAGCTGCAACTACTGCAGGATTGTATCTTTACTCTTTTTGATGAACTGTGATTGTTTATGATTTTAACGCCTTGTGTGATTGTTTCTATCTTGTTTTTTTAAGCACTTTGAGTTGCCTTGTGTATGAACTGTGCCATACAAATAAACTTCCCTCGCCTTAAACACATATCATGCATGTAAAAGTTGGGGTACTTCACCACAAGCACAATATAAACACCATGTAACTCGTTTCTTTCTTTCAAAATAGTTTGGTTCTATCACTAGTTTTCAGGCAAGGTTTTAAGCCTCTGTATTAAGTTTTAGTTTTAAGCCTCTGTCATATCTTCACTTCAGCTTTATCAGATGTAAAAGTGAAAAACAGACACACAGCAGCAGCTCAGCCCAAAAGGACTCACAGGGATCCTTCTCATACGTAACACATACCTTCTAATAGATGAAGACAGTCTGTTGTGGTCTGATTTGCTCATTATACTTTCACATTCTTTCCATTGGGAAAAACATCATGCAATATTCACAATGAGAAAAGTCAGGTACTTCCCCTTTAATAATGGTAAAATATGTGAATTTCTCAACATTACAAACCCTGCCTTTGACTACAACGCAATATGAAGCAGATTCGTTTTGAAAGTGTACATTTTTAGCCGAAGCGTCCCGCCAAATAAACAACCCAAGTGTCTTAAGCTCCGTCCTATTCCTCAGAGTGAATTGGACAAAGGAACACTTAACCAAACTTTTAAAACAGAGGTGATTTATGTATACAGCCAGCTCTACCCTAAAATCTATTATGTGCCGGTCAATTAGTGATTGTAATGGTGCATTCAAGGGCGTTCCGGTCAATGTAACACAAGCAAGAAGTGTTTATCAGCTGTTTGTGCCCATCAATCACTACAAATCCATGGCGCCAATACAAACGCAGCTAAAGCAGCCAGCCATGAGACTCTGAGTTTGTTCTGATTTAAAACGGGAAAAGGAGGACGATGTATTTGCACTGACCGAAACATCTCAACTCAATTACTGCCGTTTTGTTAGTGTAACCATCTATGTTTGACTTTGTGGTGTGACAGGAATGCTTCGCTGATTCTGTTCTGAGAGCTGAATATGCAATTAGAGACAACAAAGTATAGAAGAGCAATGCCCTTGAGTAAGGACGGCAACTTTGGACAAGGGGGAAATTACAATCAGATTTTGTGTGCTGGATTTTCTATTGCGTATAGTGTATGCAAAGCTGCTCGCGAAGGGAATCGACTGCACAATAATCTATACAGTTCTTATCATTGAACTTTTTTCCATGGTAGAATCCATTTACTGCTATTGACTGTGGACATTGGATGAACTAACTTATATTAATGTTTGATAAACTAGTAAAGCTCTGAGAAGACTGCTGTTTGGATTTGGGCCTCAACAAAAATGAAAATGAATGGAAATGAAACCATAAACAAAAGAGAAAATCTAAGGTGTTCTACGCAGTGGGTCACATGATGAAATGTCTGCTCATTCACTTCAACATTATTCAACATTATTGATTCTGTTGATGATAGAAACATGTCGACGTGTGGCCTTTGGAGCTGAGTCTTTGTTATTATAGCAGATAGGACTGGTTTGCATGTGTTCAAACGTCTGTGTTTCCACACAATGTGAAGCAGTGATATTTGTTACAGAGAGAAGAGTAAGAGCGAAGAGAGAGGTTTGTGACCAGGAGCAGTGTGTGAAGTGGTGACGCCTTCACAGGCCCTTTCCACACGTAGCCGGGTATCTCCTCAACCGCAGATATTTTTCTTCGTTTGCACCTGTCATCCACATGACAACGCATCATAAACGAATATATAAAAAAACTCTGGGCAAAGTGGAGATTTTTGAAAACCTCCGATCTCTGAAGCATGGATCTTACTGCCTTAAAAACTGTTCGCTGCTGTGAGCGGTTCGCAGCAGAGAACATCCTTGCTCCACATCAGGGAGCAGCAAAGTGATCAAGGGGACTCACGCTCGAAAACAACCAAACCAGGCCTGAGAACGGGGGTCAGTGCTTGTAAACATATACAAGTCAGGAAGTCTTTATCCTGACTACCTTCTATGACTGAAAGTGCCGCTACAGAAAGTACCAGCGTCAGTATCAAAGCTCCGCCCACTTCTGTGTTTTTCCCCCAACGCAGGACGTCAGAGGACTGAAAACGCAGATGTTCGGTTATGTGTGGATGCTAATTATTTTATAAACGGAGGGGGGGAAATATTTGGTTTTAAAAATACCCGGCTACGTGTGGACATGGCCACAGATGCAGTGTGTCATCACGGTACAACTACCAAGCCCTTAAAGCAGGAGCCAAAAGTCTTGCTCTGTCTTTTCTGCTCACATATCCACAAAGTCACTTTACTGCCCTTTATAAGTCACTTTACTGCCCTTTATAAAGTCACTTTACTGCCCTTTATAAAGTCACTTTACTACCCTTTATAAAGTCACTTTACTACCCTTTATAAAGTCACTGTACTACCCTTTATAAAGTCACTTTACTGCCCTTTATAAAGTCACTTTACTACCCTTTATAAAGTCACTTTACTACCCTTTATAAAGTCACTTTACTACCCTTTATAAAGTCACTTTACTACCCTTTATAAAGTCACTTTACTACCCTTTATAAAGTCACTTTACTACCCTTTATAAAGTCACTTTAATGCCGTCACCTTACTGAGCTGCTTAATGTATATTGTATTTTGAGTGCACTGAGTGCACGTGAATAGAGCAATAATCGTAATAATTTTACTTTTGTTTTATATTTTAGAGAATGTTATATTCAAGAATTTCTTCATAATGCTTATTCTTTCTCTACTTTTGAGTTGTTTGCACCGAGAGCCAAAGCAATTTCCTAGTCTTGACGTCCTGTCACTTACAAGGCAATACACATGATTCTGTTTCTGATTGTCCAAAACCTTGTTCTTGCAACTTAACTCAGAAGTGGAGCGAGTCGCATGTGTGAGCCGTTTACACACGCCTTGACCTTTGGGCCTGAAGGTCGTGGGTTCAAGCCCACCACAAGACCTACTTTATGACTCCTACTCCTCCTACTGTCTGCTATCATTGTGTCCTTGGGCAAGACACTTAACCCCACATGGTCTGAATCCCCCGCTGAAAGATCTCAGCTCCTGTGGACTCAGCACCTGCAGGAGGATCAGTGAGGGGCTGGTGCTCTGTGGACTGGGTGAAGCTCTGACTGCCATCCCCCCGACCCAGAAATGGATTATTATAAATAGATAGATGGACTGCTGCACTATAGAGTACTATAGAGCATTACAGAGCATTATTGAGCACTGTACTGAGCTGATTTTGGACGGGTTTTGAGTTTTTCCTTCCAAACAATCTGAAATAATCTGATGTGACTCATGCGATTTGTCTCAACAAGACAAGATAAGATCAACCCTAGGAAATTTCAATAACCAGCAAAGATACTGCAGAAAGTGCCTTTTCTATTAAAAAATTAGGACCCTTTGTCTTACAGTTCATACTGTTGGACCTGTGGATCACTCACCAGCTGCTGGTCTTGTGGGCCCCATCCTGCAAACTGCAGCTGAGCATTTCTGACTTCAGGAGGGTTCAGGTTCCATGTCTCTCTGTGAATTAAAAGCACATATTTTTGTTGCTTTTGCTTTTTATTTCCCTTGGAATAAAGTTAATTGCATTGCTATGGCAACAGAGGGGAAATAAACAACAGTATTTGCAGAAAATGAAAAGGTTCAAATGAGCTGTGGACATCAGAGCAACTGAAAACACTAAAGGGGAATCATGCTCTGTTTTCCAGGGGTGGGCGATATAAACAGTATTGTAGACAATAATATCCCACAAGTGAATCTGAAGATATGCTTTTTCCTATTAGCGTATTATTTAAATTTGTTTCTATTCTTTTCCAGTAAATACTAAAATTAGAGCCGGCCAGATGCCCATTGGTCAAATGCGTGCCTAAAAAGCCAATCACTGCTTTATTTGTACATTTCAGTAAATATTGAGCAAGCCTTTTTGGATGTGTTCTTCCCCTGTTATACTTGAATTTGATGTTAATATTTGTTTGTGTATGTTTTGCAAAGACGTGTGAAGCACTTTACAAATAAAAAGCTGCCATGTTGTGTAACATTTTGATTTTAAAGATATTGCGACAATATTGTTATCTGGAGTTGGGAAAAAATATCAAGATATATATTTTTGCTCATATTGCCCACCCCTACTGTTTTCTGATCATTTTGATATTTAACTATGATTTTTGAGTTATTGTGATTTCAATTATGGATCTTCTAACTAAAGCCGATGTAAGTGATGTCCCAGGTCACCAGTCAGTTTAGTAATTTTATTCATCCATGCAGAAAACACATGTAATTCAAACAGTTAGTGTGTGGACCCAAATCGACTAAAATTGGCATGGCTGGATATTGGTCATTTTTTAACGGCCCACATCCGTAAATCTCAGCCTTTGACATTATAGGACAATTTCGGCAGATTAGAGAACACAGCTTTAAAAGGTGCATAAATACTGTGGCTTAGGAGACGCTCTGGTTAAAGCTCTGTGTCGCAGAGTTAGCGGCGTCTCTGCTTTTATGTCTCTGTCTGAGGCTGAGGATGAATGAGGTCACGGAGGAGAGCAACACTACTGGCCACGGCCACTGGAGGGCACTCTGCATATATATATTTCATTGACGTAGGGAGACTTTCGCACCTGTGCATACATTACCAGCTTTATCGCACCAAGATTTTTGCTTTAACAAATCCGTTTTTTTTTTATTTTTTATTTGGGACTTGTTATTTCCCTTATACTACACAGAGAGCAAGTGTGCGTTACAACATTTATGGACATGTATAATATTTATGGACATTTATCAACACTTGGCACTGGTCAACTTGCTCTATGGACCAATACCTCTAGTCTGTGTGTTTGACCTATTTGATTTTCTGATCTGTGTTGGCGATTTAAACGATTTTGTAAAGTCCTCTGAGATAACTACTGTTGTGATTAAGGTCTATACAAGAATAAATTGAATGGAATTGTTTTAGACAGTTTAAAATATTGCTTATATTAGGGATAGTCGTGTTTTTGGCTCATTCTAATACTTGCTTATTTTTAGTGATTTATTTTAAACTTGGCAGTATTATAATGACTAATTATTTCCTTTGCTTTGGTGAGTAAAGCCTCTTCTGCGTAGACAATTATACTTGGCAACAAATGCTTACTGTGCACTCAGAATTGATTATTGTGTGTTTCTAGGTTATATAACGTGCTATACTGTATGTGACCAGAATGAGCAATGTTAAAGCATCATGTATTACCCCTACTCAAAAATAAAACAAGACAATTGAAGCTTTGTTGCTATATGTACTTAAGCAATCTTGTCATTGGTCAAAGAGCAACATTTAGGGTGGGAAGACGCCTGGATAAACTTTGGCGCCTCATGTGCAGCTTTTGTTTAAGATGAATATCGCGTTGACAGGGTCGGCCGCTCGCTGGGGAGAGCAGTGCTGAGGTCAGATAGATATTTATGGATAAGATAAAAGTAACACGGGGTAAATGGGCCACAGCTGTCGCCTTGTCGCCTACTTACGGAGTCTCCAGGCTGCAGATAATGTAGAAGGCTGTGTACGAGTACTGGTACACCTGGAAGAGACAGACAGAGGCTCATGTTAGACTGGAAACAAGGATGGAAAAGTGTGTTTACAGAAAGTATTATGTTACTGTCATAGTTTTCTGATATGATTCTGTCATTGTGTTGTCAAGTGTATCGCTAGCATTCATTTATGAACAATATATATATAATTATAAAGCAGGAACATAATGTGAATGTACTTTGTTTTCTCCTATGGATTTGGTAGAGAGCAGCAAATAATAATAATAATTCATAAGTTTTATAGAGCACTTTTTTCTGGTCTATAAAATAAATCTCCGTACACTGCTCTTTAAATGATGTCAGTGAAACAATCCATGCACAAATGACTCAAAAAAAACTCATATTTTTGAAACCATTTTACAAACAGATGGAACCGACTCTGCAAATGTATCTGTCCACACTGAACTGAAATCAAATCTAATTTCAACTGCAGTAATTGTAATGTATGTGCTAGGCCTGATGGGGGCGCTTTGAGGCTGCAACAGGAAACACCAAATCAGACATAATCCCTCCCCCTCTAATGATTTGAGTTTGTTAGCGCTGCCATCACAAGAAGATTATGTGTTATTGCCATCATGTCCATTGCACATATTTATCTGGGGACACATAATACAGATTTAGATGTAAATAAAAATTACAATATCTCATACAATCTCCTCAATATGTGTGATTTCTCCTTTAATCGTCCCACAGTGGGGATATTTCAGGGTTGCACCACCGGTTATAGATCAGCAGAAACTAGGAGCACAAGATAAATGAACAATAACTAAAATAAAATAACATGACAATATAAACTCTTATTTTAGCATAATGAAGAAGCAAGAAATCAGAAAAAATCTCTAACTTTAGCAGAATAAGAATTAAGTATATAATCTGTAACTTTAGAATAATACAGTTTAAGTATAAAATCTCTTGAGTTTTGCATAATAAGGAGTGGGTATAAAGTCTCCCAATACAGTATTTGTGACTTTTGTGATTTCAGGCACTTTTGAAACAGTCACTTCATACACAGCTGCTTGGTTGGAAAGTCGTGTCCTCTTTGTCTCGTGCACGTTCAGTGACCGTTGGCTCGGCCCACACACTGAGTCTGTAATAGTCTTTTATGGCTGCAGTGAGGCTGATTTAAAGCACAGCCGTGATGGAGAGAGCCGATCTGAGCCGAACCACGCTTAATTGAAAAGCCTTTAGTCCAGCTTTAAATGAAAAGGAGAGTCGCTAGTGGCTGCCATAAATGACCTGCGATAGATTTAGTATTGAACTGGGCGGATCCACTTTGCCGCAAAAGATTGGTTGTTAAGTAAGACGTCTTCTAATACTTTTACATGAACATTGGTATGCATTTGCTTATAATGTTTGCCTTAGTAAAGTGAAATCTAAGCTCCTTCACCCAAATTGCTCTCAACAAGCTTCAAAGTGAACCTTGGAGTTTGCAGCCCAATTTTAGCCCTATCCTTTCACTCAGGATACTCGCGGAGAAGGACTAAATGGGGTTTTTAATCAGTTTAGCTTCATACGGCGAGAGGGGGAGGACTAAACTACTTTCCACAAGGCTTTAGAGCAAAGGCAAAGGTTTTCTATCAACATTTGCAGCCTCCTTTTTCATCAGATATTTGAAAAATTTAATGAAAGAGAAATCTTTTCAGACATTGCAATTAATTAAATGCTAACAGAATAATAGTAACGATATTATGCCAATTTTAATAGTGTAAAAATGTTGTTAGTTACTGTAGTAAAAGTATTGTAGATGTAATTCACAACAGCGCTGCAGGGTCTTTGACAGGGGATTTGTGTCTCCGCCATACACTGTATATAGAAGGAAAATGCTAACCCTAAAGCTAAATGAAGCCCAATAGGGAAGTGCTCATGGACAAAGTTTTGCTTCAACTCTGGCTCCAATTGATTTAGATTCATAAATAAGTCACCGCAACTCAATGACAGTGATTTGTGTCACACTCACCATCTAGGTATGATCCTAGTGTTTACCATCCTAGCATCATGTCTGCTCCTGTTTTGGCGCAAACAGCATCGGAACAAATGCCCATAAAAACAAATTCTCCAGTTTATGTTCAAATCAAACACCATGTTTAAGTCCGCACTCGGTCAGTCCTCTCCTAATGTTCGCTCTATGGTTCCTCTGAACTGGGCCTGGATCAAGAACACTTTGAGGATATTTCTCAGCTTTGAGGTTTCTGCTGAATATGAGAATATCTCAAAGCATTTCTCAGTAAACTCGGTCCTCGTCATAAATGGCAATGTTTACATTTATTTTGATATAATAGAAATAACAACTTTCCACCTCACAGACGCCCGGACTGTTTCAAACATGTTTGATAAAAGTCTTTATTCAAATACAGGTAATGTTTATTGTACAAGTTCCATGACCCGATGTATTCTTTTTATTACTGTGATTTTGCTGCTTTCCCTGTTCTACTAACAGACCTTGTCGATGTCCTTTTCTGATTGAAGCGTGACAGCCCTTTCATGCCATAACACAAAACATAATTCTGATATTCTGTGAGGGCATTCATGATTGCATTATTTGTGTGTTTATAGAGCTGTGGGGGGAGCACAGATCACCCGCTGTCATACATCAAGGTGATAAAAACACTGATGGAATAATAAATGCAAAAGGAAATGCAGGTATTTCCAATTCATCTCAAGCAATAAGACAAGGTCATAATACACCTACTGGCATTCTTCAACTTCAAACGCATCCAAAAGATCATTCTGAAAGAACGTGCTCTGTGTATGCAGAGTAAATACATTGTGTCCTGAGGTGTGTTTGTGTTATGAAAGCTGAGGCAACAACACACATACACTAACACACTGTTGGATTTATATGATGAAGTCAGAGAAACTATGTTGTTGCATAGGATTACCTTAAAGCTGCATTACCTCACTTTATTTTTGTATTCATTATGAAAATTCAATCCATGGTAGTGGGGTGCAATAGCTCCGTGAGTGCAGGGAGGCGTTCCCATTTGAAAATTTCACAAATTGAGTTACTGCAGCTTTAAGTAAGAAGGGAATCCATGAATCTAACATGACAGAGTAATGTGGAAAAGGCTACTTAAAGGTTTACAGGAGGAGTTTCCAAAATTTTAGGATAAAAACATCCTCTCCACTTCTTGAACATAACTCTCTGGTCTTATCACCAGAATGATTGACAATTGGAAGGACCAATACTGTTGATGATCCACCTGGAAGTAGAAACCTCCTTTATATACCTTTAACTTTATCCATGTAATCCAACACTTTATTTGAGGAAACTGTGTTTGCCTACTGGTCCAAACATAATAAAATAATATTATTCAACATTCAATTTCCTTTGCAGCTTTTCTATTAAGGAGTTAGTTATTTTTCAATCCTACAAACTCTTACTGCCTTATTCATCATACTAAATGTATGTTTGTAAACCATAGTTTTGATTGAACCCGTTGGTTGTTCACCTTTTTGTGAAAGATGCAAAACTAAAAACTCAAGTGTTCTGTAAAAGTACACTTGATCATCATTTCCGTTTTTTTCAACACTTCAGGATTTTCTGGTGTTCAATAATAAAGTTCTAAAGTGGCTTAATGTCACCAATATCCTCACATGGGATGGGAATAGCAAAAAGATGCATTGGAAAAACTGGAGAGCAGATGTTGCACCTGTCTTTGAAGCTTGGCTCAGGGAGGTCATGGGGGTATTGCACAAAAAAAAGCTGGCTGACACCCCTCAAAACTTTGATAATTACAAGAAACCCATATTGATTTATTTGAACATTTAGTTTACTCCTAACATATCCTGACTGTCAAAGGATGTGCATCAGGTGTACAACGAGTTCTTATCAATTATATACCCCTCTGTCATGTGTTAAAACAAGGAAGTCTGCGAACTCTGCGTTTTCAATTTTGCGTGTGTATTTTTATTGTTGTTTTGGTTTCTCAAGTTTCATAATGGTCTATATAAACTGAAATATCTGCCAACTGGAAACATGGCTTTGTTATTATTTGGTTTATTTGCATTCTCTTGGCAGCTTTTTGTTTTGGTAATGGAATGGGAGAAACATAGCTAACCCGACATAATACCTTCATACTGCACATGAAAGACACGTTCCAAGTGATGTCATCGGGGGACACATTACCTCATGCAAAGTCATTACAAATTCCCATTGGATATTATGAAACTTCCACTTCGCCTGTGCTAGCTCGTGTGACACTCCTTTTACTCATTTCCAGCCCTAGTGTTTGTCTCTGGAGGATCAGTGCGGACCATCCAAGTGCGACAGGTCCTATGCACCACCATGATTATGTCTGCCCCCCAGCACCCCCCAGTCTCCGCGCGCCACCGCTCTACCCATAAACCCTTGCACTGTTGACATATTTGCCTGTCAGTTTGCTAATTCAAAAAACAAGCTTGAACAAATTAGAAAATCTTACCGGAGCGACGTTGTAGGCCAGCAGTACATGCTTCAGGTCGGGAGAAACTTCATACTTGGTGGCTTTGTACATTTCCTGGTGCAAAAGACAGAAAAGAGAAGACCGTGAGCCATGCAGAGAAATTTTCCCCCCTAATGAATATTATGATGATGGATTATTGAGGTCTGCAGGCAAATTACAGCGGCATTAATCTTAACGCCGAGCCTGGACGTTGGATAAAATGCTGCATATTATCATTGCATTGGTGCGGTGCCAACGCTCATATTCTCCACATCTATTAAACACCTTCAGGCCAAAACCAAGTCACTTTAGGATAAAATACGCTCATGCAATTTTATTTAAACAAGTAACAAGATAAAAATGTAAGGGTTAGTAAATGCTGGAAACAAGTGGTTTTACATTTGTGGGGCGGCACGGGGGCGGCACGGTGGCGGTGCGGATAGCACTCTCGCTTCTCAGCAAGAAGGTCCTGGGTTCGAATCCCAGTCGGAACAGGGCCTTCCTGAGTGGAGTTTGTACGTTCTCCCCGTGTCTGAGTAGGTTTCCTCTGGGTGCTCCGGTTTCCCCTACCACTAAAAACGTGCACAATAGGTATGAATGTAAACGAGAGAGTGAATGGATGGTGTTGATTGGAGCTGATGGTCCAGTGTGTTCGGCGACTCGCTTCTGTCATCACCGTGTGTCGAATGATTGGAACAATATCTGATCTCTGAACATTGTAAAGCGCTTTGGATGACCTTGGTCTGTAAAATGCGCTATATAGATAAACATCACTTACTTACTTACTTACTTACATTGACATTAATAGTTAATATTTTTAATTTTCTCTACAGTCGGACAAAACCAACATTTCTTATTTCACAAATCAGACAGTAGATCTTAGAAAACAAGATATTTTTGCTTGACCAATCTACCCACATTTTCTTTTAAGACTGACATACAATCTATCAATAAAAGTTTGTGGTAATTTGATAATTATGCATGGATGGGATTTGGAAAAATATGGCAGCTACTTTAGACAAATGTTCTTTCAATGATAAAATAACAATAATACTTTATGTCTTACTAAAGTTTACTGACGTTATGTAGAACTATGAATGTATTTGTACCTTTTATTAAACCAAGAAAGCCCCACTGAAATCACACAATCTTTCTTCCTGGGGAATTTTATGGGAGACTTTTGTACATGTTTGCAGTGATAGGGGAAACCGTAGCACTCGGAGAAATCCTACACAGATACGAAAAGGACATGCAAACTCCATACAGAAAAACCTGGAGGTGAAGTCGATCACAACACCTTCTTACTGTGGAGCACTCACCATTGCCCGACTGTGCCACCCCAAAACTACAGATAGAACATTGCAATTCTAAAGGCGCTCACACTAAACCGGTTTCAGGGAGCGTAAAAGGCGTCTTGTTAATGTAGGCGTAAACAAAACAACTGAAAATTGACTTACAAATTTCTTGTTGTGCACCAAAACGGTTGTCTCATTGGTGTCGACGTTGAACTTGACAACGTCCCCATCGCGATTACGGTAGAGCAGCTCATTACCTGCGAGCGGAGAGAAGGGACAGATGTTCAATGCATTTCCCTCAAAGCAAACGACAACAGCAAAGAGCTTTAAAGACTTCAGGCACAACAAATCACCCACACAGAGAGGAGACATAAAACTTAAGCAAAAATGATTCATAAATCTGGTGAAATTGGTTCAGGGAGAAGCGCAGTGGCATGCCGTACGTAATAAGCAGACTTTTTGCTGTGGGCTTTTGTTGGACCACGCTCACTGCCCTTTCAGAGAGAAGCAATTATGCACTTATGCCATTGTTGTACTAATATTCTTCACACAACAAGGCAGCAATAAAAACACATTCTGTATGGAATGGGGGACTAGATACAGTATCTAAATTATAGCGGGTAGCTGTGTATAAGAATGGACAATGCTAAACTGCTTAGCTATGAAGCCTAAGGAAAGTGCATAAAAAGATAAAGTATTTTGTTGGTCAGTTGAATGTATATGACTAAATAACTGATCAATCAGCTGCCCTCTAGCCTTGAACACGGTTACTGCTTGAATGTACCAGCCGTGCTCCTGACTGGCTCTTTTGTTGCTAGGGGGTTGCTATCTCCAAATAGAGCTCCAGATTCTAGTCAACCCCTGAGTTTCTAAGATGGTACACTGCAAAAAATGATCAAATATGAGATTACTAGAATCGAGTTTTTTTAACTTGACTTAAGTTCATTCTGACTGTCTTAAAATGAGATTTGCCAATGAGACAAGCAATTTTGACTTGATTAAAGAACTATTGCTTTATTTTCTCATTCCAAGAGAGAAATAGATTGTATCTTTTTAAAACAAGATCATTTTTCTTGTTCCACTGGAAAATCTTGTTTTAAGGCAGTCAAAACGTGCTCAAATTTAGATACATTTAGCCAAATTTGAGCATTTTTTTGTCTTTAATTCTGTCATCTTTTGCAGTGTGGTCCAATCAAGTCAATGGCCTGTGTTCATTTGAAGCAAAAAAAGACTAGCATTTTGGCTGATTTTTTCTCTAGTCCCTTCATAGTCCCTTTCTAGTCCCTCTCTAGTTTGGTCAGAATTCCAACTGTTGTTCCCTTTGACCTGAAAACACTTTGTTTTTGGTAACATTAAAATCTATTGGGAAATCCCTTGTGTTGCCACTGAGAGTTCAGTGAAGAACAGCGGGGGCATTTTAACGAGTTTTGGAGAGGAGATTATACCCGGGCAGATAATCGAAGAGATCCAGATTCCCGCCAACGGATCCTGTTTGTGAAGCTCTAATCGGCTTCTTCCAGGAAAAGGCAAACCATGAGAACGCATGGTGTTCCAAATGTCCAATAAAAAACAGCTGAAAGTAAAGTATCTTGACTCATCTGTGAGGAAATTATTGCAGTAATTGCTGTGATTATGTGTTGATTTGTATGATGTGTTTGTATTTTCCTGGACCTTGTGTCAGTATTCAAGTTTGATGAGGAGGAAAAAGCCTCACATTCTGCCTCAGGCTTCTTCCTCTTCTTCAAACATATACTGCATGTCCTTGAGGACCTTGACGAAGTACAAGCAGTACTACCTTGTGGTCTGGCTCAAAAGTTTCAGACTTTTCTTAGTAAATAAATATATCTAAACTCCCTAACCCATTATAAACATGCTCGATCTGATCTCAACATTAGCTACATCTAATGAGTTTGTTAATATAGGAAGCTCCCATTATCCACAGCTGTTTCCCCGAAGCAAACTCACAAGAGGAATCCTGACGTTTCCAGATGTTCATTGAATTTCTCTCTTCTTTTCCACATTCATAATACAGAATCTCATTTGTACACCATCCATGTTCACATTCAGGCCACGGTTAGAGCTCCATGACTTGACTGACCCACGTGCAAGAACAGACAGGACATTTGGAGGTAATTAGTAGCCATAGCGGTTCCACACGCTGGCCTCTATCGCCGCCATATCTAACGGTCCATTAGAGGTGACAGCATTACCATCACAATGGCTCTCATCCACAGTGTGCTTCAGAGAGACATTTCAGACTGCAGCCGCTCATCAGCTTTGTGTCCTTGTTAAAGACCATCAGCGTATTATCGGAGAAAAGAGGATTCGACAATAGGATAAATAATACTGAGTCCAGAGCCATTCTGTTTTTTGACTGTTTAGATGTTGAATAATGCAAGTGTGCTCGTTGTTACAACTGAGGCCAAAGTAAATGGAAGGCAGATCATTTGAGTAAGAAAAGAATCCATCTTGTTTAGAGTTACAAAGACTTGGGGGGCACGGTGGCTGAGTGGATAGCACTCTTGCTTCTCAGCAAGACGGTCCCGGGTTCGAATCCCGGTCGTTATCCCCGTGTCTGCGTAGGTTTCCTCCGGGTACTCCGGTTTCCCCTTCCACTAAAAACATGTACAATAGGTCTGGCATGCGCCTCCTGTACTGGCGACCCCGCTCCCATCTCTGTGTGGAGTGAGAGACAAATGCCCACAATTGTAAACCGCTGTGTGACTCTGGTCTGTGAAAGGCGGTATATAAATAAAGATTACTTACTTGACATAATTGTCAAGTTTTACTGTCCGAACTACACACACACAAAAGTGTGTATTTTCATTGGCTATAGATGTTTGTGATTCATGTGTCTTGGTGTGGCATTTAATCATGAATTAATGTCCGCCATCTATGACGTGGTTAGCACCCCAGCAGCAGCTGCAAAAAAGATATTCTGGTGCCGCCAATGCTGCTGCTGCTACTACTACTACTAATACTACTAGCATAATGGTATAGAATACACAATTCTGCCATGGTGAAATCTTTATGCCACTTTGTGGAGAAGTGATATCAATTCAGGATTAGAAAATGTGTTTAATATACATTACATTTCACACAACAAAGCCATTCCTAATACAATTTTCAACAAATTCCACTTTATTTGAGATGAGCTACTCCATTCCATTCCATTATGTGCTGAAATAACTTAATTCACCAGGTTAATTCACCAGATACATTTTGTTCTTTTTGAACCTCTGGGTCTCTGAAATATTGAACCCATATGGCCTTACTATGAACAGTGTTGTGTGCTTGGCTCTTTTGGAGCACTTTGAACCATTCCTCACAATAGATTCTCTCCATGCAGTCCCTCATTGTGCTTGCGGCAGATTCAGACCTCTCACTCCTCTGTAGACCAACCTTTTAAATCGGCCTTTTCATGTTTGGTGAATTGCTTTTTGCTTATCCAGTGGCCCCTAAGACAGCCAAGGTATCCTTCAGATGTCTTGAGTCCCCAAAGAGCTGGCCTTTTATAAACCTACACCAGCTTAGTTCATATTCTCAGACCTTATCAGCCCCTCTCACCCACACGTCTCGCAGGTGTTTTTGTGTGGGGAGAGTCATTGGTCTAATATTCCGGTCTGGAGGCAGTTACTGCTGCCCCTCTTCCAGTGCACTATAGCCCACGGCTCTGTTTCCTCCTGTGATCTACAGTATTCTACAGAGCCATGTCTTATTAATACAAGCTGCCCCTGCCGTGGGATCAGGTCAGACCAAGCCTCAGGGGAGCAGTGGTATAGGAACATACATGACATCTGCACCGTATACAGTGTACGGAAAGGCATTGAGAGACAGTGAGCGTCCGCACAAGCAGCAAAAACATCAATAACAAATGTCACTGCTTACTGTGCATTTTGACGTATATATAGGACATAACTTATAAAAGCTCTATGAACATCATTGCATAATATAGGCCTACAATGAAGATGGAACCTATTTCATAAACGGAACCTGATTATATTCTCTATGTTATAGAGAACATAATACATTTTCTTAAAGACATTTCTTCCAATAAGATAATTACAGCCTGCTTTGGTGTGATTTGTTCAAAACTTTCTTACTCAGTCATCAATTATTAAACAAACAGTAAGGTACCCCTGCTTTAATTTAACATAAATGTATTTTCTAAGATCTGAAGGCAACAGGTAATTGCACATGGACTCATCCTTCAGTTGTAACTATTGATGAACCACCTCATTCTTCACCTTTACCTTTAACATTGAGAAAATGAAGGATTTTGATTAAATCCACTTGTGAATATTTCATGACCTTACATTCTACCACACATAGAACTGGGTTTAAGGGGGGACCTATTATTACATGGTAGAGTCATCACTCTTTGTCAACAGCTTGTGAGGTCGTGTTTGAGCCGCTCTGGGCACCACGAGCCGGGAAATATATAGTCTGGTGCAAGACTAACAGGCCTGGTCCTCATAATGTGTCCCTACAGGCGTATGTGTGTGTACGTGTGTGTGTGTATGTATGTGAGGGGGGGTGTAGGCAGTGATGGACGATGGGCAGGTTACAGGTTGTATCTATTTATCGTCTTTTCATTGTGCAAACTACTTACAATGGCAGAAAAATTTGTGTAAATCAAAGTGCTGTAACTTCAATAAGGATAATAATAAGTATTTCCTCTCTATCTATATGGAACATTTCACAAAACCGGTTTTAGCAAAGTAGTACTTTGCCATAAAAAAGGAGTGTTCTTATTTCTTTATTTTGGAAAGAATGAACTGGGTAAACTAAAGGTTATTTGTAAGTAGGTTTACTCTAAGACAGTGATTCTCAAACGTTTTACACCAAGTACCACCTCAGAAAATACGTGCCTCTTCAAGTACCACCACAAATGACCAACACTACACAGTAGTGTAGTAAGCCTAAGAATTTATCTAAAACAAGTTTCATTCCTAAAGACGTATATTTAATATTGTCAGCCATTGTAACATTTTCACAGTTTCAACTGTAAGACTGCTCTTAAATATAGGGTAACACATTATATTAATGGTACATGACTTCATGCATGATTCTCATGAACTAATGCATGAATTAATGCATTACTTCATGATACATTCATGCATAACTAGATCATGAATTCTCATGAACTAACATGATTACATGTTGGTCCATGAATTAATGATTGAACTACTGTAATGAATTTACATGAAAATCTTAAAGAATCATCATGATCATGATGTTACCATGAATTTACTGA